GCTCATGATGATGGTGTTGCTGCTGATGCTGATGCGGCTGCTCATGATGATGGTGCTGCTGCTGCTGCTGATGCTGCTGCTCATGATGATGTTGTTGCTGCTGTTGCTGATGCTGCTGCTCATGATGATGGTGTTGCTGCTGATGCTGATGCTGCTGTTGCTTCTGTTGCTGCTGATGCTGCTCATGATGATGGTGCTGCTGTTGCTGATGAGGATGATGCTGCTGTTGCTGCTGCTGTTACTGCTGGTGCTGTTGCTGCTGCTGCTCATGACGCTGCTGCTGGTGCTGCTGCTGGTGCTGCTGTAGATGTAGCAGGTGCTGCTGCTGATGCTGCTGCTGCTTCTGCTGCTGCTAGAACGTGTCCTCCTACTGCTGCTTCTGCTGCTGTTGCTGCTGCTGCTGCTGCTGCAGGAGCCTAATCCTAACGACCCTTTAAATCATGAAGCAGCAGCAACATTAAGGAACGACCCTGTAATATTTGCTGAGAGAGTCAGAAGCAGCATGCGGGGGTTCTCTGTAGGCAATGTCTCCTTCACCCCAATCATCTAGCTGCTGCTGCTGCTGCAATTCGTGCAGCTGATGTAGCTGCAGAAAATCATGTGGATCCTGCTGCAGCAGCTCACGCTGCTGCCGCTGCAGCTGCAGCTGCTGCAGCAGAGCATCGTGATGCTGCTGCAGCAGCGTCAGCTGCTGCCGCTGCACCAACCCATCTTGCTGAGGTGGTTGCTGCTGCTGCTACTGCAGAAGCAGCAGCAGCAACACCAGCAATGGCGGCGGCTGCAGCTGTTTTGCTGTCAACAGAGTTGATGCATCGTTAAAGGAGTGTAGCTGTAAGCAACTGCAGCAGCAACACTAGCAGCAATAGTAGCAGCAGCAACACTAGCAGCAATAGTAGCAGCAGCAACAGCAGCAGCAGTAACAGCAGCAGGAACAGCAGCAACAACAGCAGCAGTTGTTGCTGCTGTTGCTGCTTGTACGTCTATTGTCTATAAAGAACAGTTAGGAGGAGACAGAGAGAGAGAGAGAGACAGAAACAACTGTGTAGCTAACACTGCAGCAGCCCCAGCAGCAGCATCTGCAGCAGCTCCAGCAGCAGCATCTGCTGCTGCTGTTGATGCTGCTGCTCAGCTGCTGCAGTTAGTTACTGTAGCAGCTGTATAGAGGAAGCTAAGCTACAATTTTCTAGTGCAGAGCAGCAACAACAGGTGCTGCTGCCGTTGCTGTTGCTGCTGCTGTCGCTGCTGCTGCTGCTGCTGCTGCGCTCGTGTATATATGCATATAGCTTGAGGTGTTTATACAGCAGGATTTTGCTGCTGCTACAGGAGAGGCAGCAGCAAATGTGTTTTTCTCTTTAAACTGAGAAAGCGTACATCTAAATTAAAGATAATAGTCTGCAAAAGCTGCGGATACACCCGAACATCTTTGGGGTGTATACGGACCTCTCGCTGCATGCAAGGCCTTCCCTCTGATATATATATATTATATATATATATATATATAATATAATATATAATAATATATATATAATATATACATAT